AAAGTTAAAAAAATGAAGCAAGTATAATAAAAAGTATGAACCCTACATTGATAAACCAGTCTTTATTGTCCGATTTCGTTCATATTTCCAAAGCTTGCTCTAAAAAATATTTGTTTTTACTACATGTTAACTTATTGTTATGACGGGTTCGAAATACATATTACGTAATTGCCTTATGCAACCGTGTAATAGCGACATTTGACCTCTCTTTACTCGTATCGTAATTTTTAAGCAAAAAACAAAACCGATTTAAATTCTCATTTAAAATTTTAAGAATATCGTTAGTTTCATCATGATCCAATCATCGGATTTAATATAAATTAGTACGGGACCGCCTGTGAGGTAACACCTTGTCTTCAAAAAAAGAATTACAGAAATCGGTTAACGTGGTCCAAAGATATGCGCTAACATACATAAAAAAAAATTTAATAAAAATAATAATTTTCCGATAAATTGGTAACCTTCTCCTTTTTGTAATTTAATAATTACATATATCACAATTAATGATATTTGTTGTTTCTCTTTTAATAAAAATGAGCGTGAAGTAAGTTAAATATGTAGAAAAATTAATTTTGGGGGAATTTCATTGAAAATAGGGGAATTTTTTCAGGAATTTCGAGGAGTTCGCCCCAAGAGAGTTGGCATCCCTGCCAGAGAGCCATCCACGCCAACGCAGCCAATAATAACAGCGCACACATTTACACCTACAAATGCATGCGCTGCGCTGGCGTTTACCGGCGTTGGACACCTGTTCGCTGACGCGCGAGTTCGTTGGGTGGCTGTTCGCGTTCAAATAGATCGATCGATTGATCGCCGGTGAATCGAAGAGAGATCGCGAAAAAGAAAACGAAAAACAAGTGGCTCTCAATATTTTCACTTAATAACACAATGCAGATGAATAAACAGCAATGTTCACCGGCCAATTACAAAAATCTAACCACATAGCAATTGGTGTGAGCTGGTAGCCTAGAGCGGTGGTGTTTGGTCGGCATTTCGGGCGCAACCCACTTGACTTTGAACAAACAAACAAAAGAATGAAGAGAAACAACAAACCGATTTATTTTTGTAGGCAGTTGTTATTGTTATACACACACATACACACACCAGATCACCTGAGCACCACCACCACAGCCACCACCGCAGCGGCGCTGACTTGTCTTGACTCGACTTGACTTGTCGCTCGAGAGCACTCATACGTTGCGATGTCTCGTCAGGTACAATAGTTCGCTTGCGACATTGGCGCGGTGCGGTAGTGTGTAAGAGTATGTGTTCGTCAGTCGCGTTGGTTGCTTCCTCACAGCACTTTTGCGTTTTCTTTCGTTGCGTTTGCGTGATTTTCAAATTGGATTCGAAACATTTCAGACAATCCGTGAAAGTGTTAAAAACTAGTTCGTGGTTTGGCTGAGTAGATAAGCTGCCAATTTGCATAATTGAGTTACATACTAAAACATCGCCAACTGAAGTGTATCTACTACTTGGAAGTGTGTTTGATTGAAAATAATTAATAAATATTTTTAATTGAAGCTGATGTACCAAAATTGTGGAGTTTTTTAAATTGTGAGCCAATGCAAAAATGGGGGGAACACCCAGTGCCAGAACCTGTTCTGATATCGTATTCGAGCCAAGTGCTCTTGTGAGCCGTCGGCGTTTTTAAAATAAAATAACTGAAAATTTCTATCAAGTGGAAACTTCTAGAATTGGATCTACAGCTTCGTTTTGGTGTGCAATGTGAGGTATGTGAAGTAGAAATTTTAAGTTTATACAAACTCTACGCTCATCCATACCAAATATGGACCTGTCGCCGAGTGGTGCGGCACCACTTTTTAGGTTCGATCCCTGACTAAATCAGCATAAAAAAAATATATATATGTATATAGTAAAAAATTTTCAAAACAGCGAGTATATTTCTGCCTTGAAAAAGCTTTTCATAAAATCCATTTGCTCGTCCCTTTCTCTCATGAAGCCAAGTAGGAGGCTCATTCATTTCAGGAGGCTTCATGTTCTGTTTCTGTTAGGTTAGTTCCGGTTTTGGGACGCATTTTACAATTTATCCTTTTCCTAGCTTGGGCAACCTAGTAGAAAACTAGGATCTAACCGTGGTTGAATACGTTTGGCAATACAATCTACTGAGGTTTACAAATAAAAGAAACTGATGCTTTGTATTTTGACGTTTTGGAATGACCCATACTTCAATATTATCTGCACGAAATCTTGGCCCTGCGGAGTGGAAGCGAGCTCTGCTAACCACTGCACCACAGCGGCCGCAAAAAAGAGTTATGGACCATAAAATACTGCGTTAGCTCCCTGTTTCGCTAGAAAGGCTGTTTCGTCATTGCCATTATGTCCCTCATGCCCCGGTACCCATCCTAATAAAACTGTATTCTCAGAACTTATTTTGTAGGACTTCAGGGCCAATAGGGCTGCCTGACTGTCCGACATAATGCAGATAGGTATATGTATTTCGATGATTTGCCCCTTTTAAGGCATTCTCTGCCGCAAATTATTATTATATTATTTATAGTGAATTTCTGCTGGAAAGATGGCGGCCCAAATATGCCAGCCTAGTTTTACCATTTTCAAGTTTAAATCCATCTGAGTACCTAACCTCCCCATAGGTTCGGTGTATGGGCTCCCTGCATTCCAGAGAGCTCGATCTGCAATGTGTACCTCAAATTTCCTAGAGAATACTAGTTTTGGAACAAATGCGCCGCGCATTTGCAATATGGGGCCATTAGCGAATGCCATTAGGACCTTCAGGTTTGAGGTATTTAGGATTCTCTGTGCCACTGTAGCCGCCTCTTTTTCTATTAAAATGGGAAATTTCAACGAACGCACTAAGTGTATGAACGGGGCAAGTCTTCATAGCTCCTGTTATTGCAATGCAAACCATTCTAAGCAATTTACTTAGTTTTGTGCTTACAGTTCTTTGTGTAACCCTAGTAAACCATGCTAAGGAGGCATAGGTTACTATTGGCTTAACGACTGTATTGAATGACCAATAGGCCATTTTGGAAGTAAGGCCCCATGTTGTACGTGAACAGGCAACGAGGGCCTTCATCGCCTTGTTGATAACAGCGTCCAAATGTGCGTGCCATTTCAGTGTTTTATCCAAGAGTCATCCCCAGATATTTAGCTTCACTGGAAAATTCTATTTCTGTGCCGCTCAAAGCAGTGCTGGCACTAATCGATTCATTTTTTAATCAATTAGTTAATTCGATTAAATTCAATCCGATTACAGTTAATCATGATTAATTTTAATCTGATTAAACAGTTAATCGGAAACGCGATAAAAAAATTAATTTTTAATCATTAACTCTGAATTTGATTAAGTAGGTTTGGTGATTAACCCTGTACGTGCTTCGTTAGTCGATTCGACTAACAAAAATCGTGTTTGGCTTCGTACCTCTCTCTGAAGTCATTTACCATTTGGTAATTATATGTAACAGAGAAAATAATATGTATTTAATATTTTGTTTATGTGTTTGAAAAACTATAAAGAACTGAAATCCATAAAATGTATTTTCGTTTTTAACTCTTTTAGGTTTGTTATTTCAATTCAAAGTTGGTGTTAGTCGTTTCGACTAACAAGCCCGCTGACAGGGTCAAAAGAGCGAAGCACTTCCAGGGTTAATTAAATTATGCTGGAATTTTCCTGTGAAAAAATTAAATCATTACTACTACGAATAATTAATTTTAATCGTCAATCGCGATTAACGTTTTAATTCCTTAATTTTTAATCGTTAATCAGATTAACATTTTTCCAACACTGGCTCAAAGTGAGTTTAGTCTTACATAAGTTCCACCTCTGAGTAAATGAAACAATAATGGTTAGGCTTGTTGCATGCGGTTGGTGATAAAAAGCCATAATTTATTGCCTTATATGATGTGTTATCAAAAGCCTCTGAAATATCAATAATGGCGCAAAGGGATATATTTTTAGATTACACAGCTTTCTCAATTTTTTATAGGTGATCTGGTTCTCGTTCAGAAGCCGTTCTATTAGGCTGACTGATGTACTGATTCAGTATTTTCTCCATCTTTTTTAGGAGAAAGGAACTGAGGTTAAATGGTCGGTAAGATGAAGGTAATTGTTTCGGCTTACCTATTCTGGGTAGAACCACGACCTTCACCTCAGACCATCCCCAACGCTGAGACTCCATATCCGGTGGTTTTACGTCGTTGTCGTGCGGTTTCTTAGCCCAGATTAGCTAGAGCTTACGGTCGGCTCCCTTCAGCTTGGTCGTTACAATGCATTCACTTCGAAAATTTGGTTTAAAGAAAACTATTACCACGGTCCTCCTGAGTATGAAGGGTCATATTTTACCTGTGTTGATGGCTGCCTCCAGCTTATAGTATATATTTTGTCGTAAGTCCAGAAATACTCGTACCGCTTTTGCTCAATCAGCAAAAGATTGGTGGAAGCCACTCGGAGATTAATCCCCAAAGCTTTCGAGCTAATCGACATCCGTCCGAGATAGACCCGCCATACGAAGAAGCGCAAGATATAAATGATATCATGTTTTTAACGTATGAACTTACGAGTATAATACAGTACAAACCTTTCGAGTCTCACAAAAGTCTCTAGATAATAATGAATAAGGGACGTATAATCTTTTTATCACACTTTAAGAAAGTAAAAGTTGTCGGGGTTTTGATTTCATCCTGATAACACGGATCACTGCGTGACTAGCCTGGCACCAGCTAGCGGTAAAATAAGCTCTCACAACTACTCAGGTAGCCAGGTTGCTACCAGAACCTTACGGTACCTTCGAAGCTTATAGGGGAATGCCTCAATTCACTTTCGGTCGCGTCGGAATATTACTTTGTCACACTTACATATAGAAGTGCCAGGCCGTAGTGATACAGCAGATTGTATGGTCACCTCGGCCAGAGGAGGAACGCTTTAGCCAAAGTGAGAGTCCCATTGACTACATGTAGACTTCTCTTAGAAAAATGGGCCTCGTTTTAACTCAGCGAACGCTGGGGGAAAAACAGGGCATGTGTTACTGTGAGATCGTTCTAGGCGGGGGTGGACCGGGCGTGACCTAGGGATTTTTTAGGCTCGCGAAGCCAGATTACTCAATTCTGGTAGGTGCACGGACAGGCCACTGTCCTATCGGGGTTCACACGGTCATGTTAAAGATCACACCAGCTCCACTTTTCCACAGCCGCGTCTTAGACTGAACAGCGTTTAGTAGACTGCGGCTTAGGCACCTGGTTTTATACTTTCTTCCCGGTCCGGAGGAGCTCTCCGGAATTAACATGTAAAGCCTGTGAAAATTCTATCACGGCACGCAGTGATTCTCACTTAAATCAAGCAGTTATCGTTCGCAGTTTTACGGACAACACTGGCAACATATAAAATTGCTAAATCCTAGCTACTAAAAACTTGCTCTTTATTGCATTAAAATTTAAATTTAAAGTTAGAATTTTGCGGAATATTTGATGAAATTCCTCGAAGTTTGAAATTTCGCCTTGTACGGTTTTTTGTTAGACAATAAAACAAAGAATAAACATAAAATAAACAAGAGAAAAATATCCCAAACTTGTTAAAATGTCGCCTCCCTATTTGTTTGGCCCCCCTTCCCCCTTCCCCACCCGTCCCCCCCTTACCTTTTTCAAATGAATGGAACTGCAGACTTACTTAAATTTTCATGGCTAGAATTAAGTTAAGATTTCTCTTAAAATCCGATTCAGTTGTAGTGACTGCTCCTTATCTGAGAATATCAACTAGTTTGCTGTTTATTATTCTCAAAAAAGAAACGGTCAATTATAAATCGCTTATAACCAACGCCCACGGATTAGTTTAAACCGAAAAATGCTAATTTAAAAAAGTATATATATTTTACTCATTCAAACTTCAGCTCAAATTTCGCCAAGATTTAACTTCGATAGCCGTTACTTAATTCACAGTAAATTTCACTTTTGTTGATATTCTCGCCGCATTCAACAAATGACTGTTTTTTTCAAATTTATTGCTATTTCTTGCTAATTTTCGCCAATCGCTTTTAATTTAAAATGCATTAAACAAGTTCGCCTCCACTAAGCAGCCAGAAAATTTACAGTCATTCGAGCGAAGTTCGTAAAATTCGCAAGTAATCAAATTTATTACTTTAAGCAGGCAGCCGTCAAGGTGCGAATATTTTATGATTTTCAAATAAAAGTCTGGTTAATTAAGTAAATTTTATTGGTCATTATTTCATTATTTCAAATTAAAATTATTGCGATAAATAAGGCAAATTATGAAAGTAACACCAAACAATAAAATGTGGAACGCAAATACTTCAAAAATAATGCAACCGGTTTGTTACGAGAACGAGAAGTTAGAAAGAGCTTGAAATAAAAAGTGAAAACCGAAAAATATTCCAAATTTTTCGCCGATATTCGAAAAAATCAAAAAAATCATTTGGATGATGTACAAGCCAAACTGGATATAATGAATCTAATCTAAACTTACTTTTGTTTGTTGTCGTCTTTTTTTGTTGTTCCAATTCAGTTCGAACACCAAAATAACCAATTTTTTATGGCGTTTTTTTGGATTTGACCGAAATTAATAAAGAATTTAAAAGTAAAGGTTTTGCTTAGCAGTAAATTACACAAGTTTACGGAATTAAACAAATTTCAATAAATCAATTCGCTAGCTCCCAAACTTCTAATCCGATCGGAAAATGTTGAAAACATAGATGATTGTAAATTTAATAAGCACGCGATTTTTTGAAACTTTGGCCTCTTT